TAACCACTTGTTTGCTAGCCATTTATTTGAAGTGATGTGTAGCCGTTAACCAGCAAACAACGCTATTTCCCACGTTCAGTTGGATTCGTAAGATACACATGAAGCTGGGATCGGTACTACCGCGGCCTCGACGAGCTATTGTAATTTAAATTATCTCATTTTACAATACCTTATTTTTGCTGCTAAAATTAAGTATTTCGCTCAAGCGTTGCTTGCGAGGCATGGAGCTGGAATGTCCTCCATACCTGACCATCTGCAGCTAGCGAGGCATGAGGCTGGAATGTCCTCCATATCTGACCATCTGCAGCTGGCGATGCATGAAGTTGGAATGTCCTCCATACCTGACCATCTGTAGCTGGCGATGCATGGAGCTAGAATGTCCTCCATACCTGACCATCTGCAGCTGGTGATGCATGGAGCTAGAATGTCCTCCATACCTGACCATCTGCAGCCGGCGAGGCATGAAGCTGGAATGTCCTCCATATCTGACCATCTGCAGCTGGCGATGCATGGAGCTGGTCCCCATACCTGAACATCTGAAAGACGTCCCTCCTGACCATCTGCAGACGGCGATGCATGGAGCTGGAATGTCCTCCATACCTGACCATCTGCAGCTAGCGAGGCATGGAGCTGAAATGTCCTGCATATCTGACCATCTACAGCTGGCCAGGCATGGAGCTGAGATGTCCTCCATACCTGACCATCTGCAGTAGGCCAGGCATGGAGCTGAAATGTCTTCCATACCTGACCATCTGCAGCTGGCGACGCATGGAGCTGGGATGTCGTCCATATCTGACCATCTGCAGCCGGCGAGGCATGGAGCTGAAATGTCCTGCATATCTGACCATCTGCAGCTGGCGAGGCATGGAGCTGAAATGTCCTCCATACCTGACCATCTGCAGCCGGCGAGGCATGGAGCTAGAATGTCCTCCATACCTGACCATCTGCAGCTATCGAGGCATGAAGCTGAAATGTCCTCCTACCTGACCATCTGCAGCTGGCGAATCCTCATTGCGCCGCGCGCTACGTCTATCTATTGATGCGCTAACATTCCCCTTAATTTTGCTCGCAAGAGCAAATACATCAAGAGATGCTGCGTTTGAATAGCGTGCGGCAGTTTATAAAACGATCCGAATTTCTGCACTTCTCATTTTCCGCCGCGATAAATGTAATTCAGCTAACGTACTGGTTCTGTATGTGCATAGGGTGTCATCTGTGAATGAAATCCATAAGCTCACACTGAATCCTCTATAGGTGGCAGCACTTCAGCATTTAATTTCCGTTCGTCCGCACAAGGGATGCTGCGGCCCGAGGTCTCTATCGAGGTATTGCGACCGCGTTCCGGCAGCACTCTGTTCGCCCGCACGATTGCTGTGGGTGCCGCCACCGCTGGGGTGGACTAAGGCCGTGGTGGTGTTTGGGAAATCCGCATGTATACGTGTTTTAGTGATATAAAATATCGATGGTTAGTATGAACCATAGCAGCCTGTAATGCCTATGTGTCGCTGGATTAACACGTCGACATAAGCCGCTCACAAAACGCGCAACTTCCATGCAACAGCCATGTTAAGTCATGCAATATCACTGTATAACACTGCATTTAGGGGCGTGCGCAGAATTTTGAGTGGGGGTACAACACACATTTTCGCTGTACAACTGCATAACTTACGTTTCCTGATGCGGACATTAGACGACATTTAACCTCTATGGTCTTTTAAATATAACCCTGGATGCATACAGTGTGTTTCATCTTTGACTAAAAATGAATAGATATACACTTGTCTGAATATGGCTAGAGTGCTTGATTAGTCCTTTCCAGATCGCAATCACCGCGTAAAATTGAAACAACTTTTTCATTCTTTTCGATTTATCCGTAAATCACGACACGCACAGTCAGAATTATCACAAGAAGGCGATGCGTACAATGATCGATCGCTAAAAATACCCGGTACCCATACCCAGCCACACTTGACACATCATCGCAGTCTATCGTGCATACGGATACATCGCTTCAAATAATTGCTCACACATAAGAATATCTACAGCACGGTACGCATTAGACTCACAATGTCTAGTCCTCGCGTGCTCGTTTTGGAACGAGTACCACTACGACCTCCCACCGCGACCACACACAACACGGTATTTACCGCGAATGGTGCGTGCAGAAAAGACGTGAATGCGTGATGTAGGTGCAAGCGTTTGGTGTACGTGTTTGTGGTCTGAAAGCATGTGGGTGTTAGAGAATACGTGTATATCTGATTTATTTGTGTGTTGCGCGGTAGATGCGCGTGCTCTGCACCGCAATTTTTTGGCTGTGAGGTTTCGGGCAGGACTCGCAAAATAAGCCCTATTCTTCACCACATTGTTCTTCACCACTTCACCGCACCACAGACAAGCTATTCGTTTCATTACGTAATTCGGCAAGGGCGCTCTTTTCGTGCTTCAAGTTTCAGTAGGTTTAGGAAATGTCCTATTTATGGTAATAATTTCCTCGGATGCACCTTGTAAATCGTGAATTTGGCCAATTCTATAACAATAATTTTAATGCTACTGGTGCTTGGCAAACTGGGGAATATCCAGCGCCTCTTGTCAGGGTTAAGTATTACGTTAAATTTTTCGGATATTTTGGCGAAAGCGCGTAAGAAGAAATCCTGGATTCTTAAGCAATCCCGACATAAATGTGTTAATGTTTCAACTGAATGCGAATGGAATGTGAACTAAATACTTTCTGATCGACCAGGTCTGTGCAGACAAAGATTTGTTGGGATTATTCAGTTGGTGGGGCGGAAATAAAAGGATTGAATACACCTATTCTTTGTTACTCTAGAAATATCGTACGTACTATTTGTCCGTACAAAGCCTATGGCTCATGACCATTTGTTTTCTTAATTGCGATGCACCAAGGATTGCTTTGATGTTAGGGAGTGCACGCATTGTTTAGGAGTCATTCATGGTAATTCATCTGGATTTACCAGCCTTATGTGGCAAGACAGTATTGGGTACCATACTGACCCCCTTTGGTTGGAGTTCTTAATCATTTTCGGGAGGTTTCTGACGAAAGATTCGTACCACAGGAATGCTACTGAAATGTTGTAAATCTCTCGTATCTCCCGCCTTGAGTACAGTTTTCCAGATAGTGGATCAATGAGATCTGCTAATAATCTAAGGCCTTTATTGTCCTAACCTTCAACTATGGTGTTGTTTAACTTAGTCAGATCCGAAAACCATAGTTTTACGGACATTAGCTGGTGCTTATCTGGGTCGCGTCGTGAGAAAAACTTTTACCACGCTTGAAACACATTCTTCTAAAACGGATTCTGAAATCTCTTAGTGACCATTTTTTGTGGGGCCATAGGTTGCCAGGCCTTTAATGCAGACAATTTTCGCCCTGATTATTTAAGAGCAACTGTATTGAAAGCAGTTTTCGAATCCACTATACCTTTTAACCTTTCCATGAAACAGTCGATATCCATCATATTCAGATCAAGTATGTAAGGTCGTGTCATTTTAGTTCCTTTAACACGGTGTCGCCTATCTTTCCAGAGAAATTTGAACAACAGCACATGCATTGCCTTGGCTATGTCCTTTGAAGGATTAGGCAAAGCTTAAAACATATGTACTAGCCTTTATATTAGCAAGTATTTGGTAACACTTACTCCTCCCACCAAAGTTAAATGTCGCATTTTTCATCGCAATATCTCCTCCTATAAGTGGTGTCTTCGATACAAGGTTTGTGTTGGTTATGTCCGCGTCGTTTTTTTTTAAGTAATGCCGAGCAGCTTTAATTCCTCAGCGAATACTATTTATTCTGCATTTACCTGCGAAGTTTCAGTGCCGATTCCGATTTGAAGGCATTTTGCTATGTTAAAGCTCCAGGATCATGTTTCAAATGCGGCTTCGAAATCAGCTGCTGCGATCAAACCGGACTGTTCAAAGTTATTCACTGAATCATTAATGTCGTATTATTGTTTTCTTCATTGAAAAGGCCCGCCATGTATGCCGAATAAATGGGAGAAATACGGTCGTTCATAACGCCTTTAAGGCTGTTTGCAGTAACCGCAGATATGATGATAAAGTCGACGTTCAGTAAAGATATCAGCCTCCAACCGTCCATTCGTCTGACGGTTTACTTGCTTTGGGGATAAGAGTGATGAGGATGGAAATAAACTTGCTGCTAAGGTTTCCTTTTCACTCCGTGTCAGATCGCCCGAAATGTTACCGCCTACCGCCTCACGGCTGAGGGCCAATTGCGGTCAAGCGTGCAGGAAAGACCGCAAAATAGCGGAAATTCCGCTACCCAAGCCCAGACTTATCTTCAGTCTTCAGTGATATACCTAGAGCGCTGTACGTGACCAGTAAGGCAAGCTGAAGCTCCGCTTCCCCGATTAGAACCTAAAAAGTGTGGGAAAGGCGCGGGATGGTGGGTATCGTCACGGACCCACGCCCGGAACCCCGATGGCCAGCGGCGCTTACGTCCCTATCCAGACGCCTGGAACCCCGATGGCCAGCGGCGCTTACGTCCCTATCCAGACGCCCGGAACCCCGATGGCCAGCGGCGCTTACGTCCCTATCCAGACGCCCGGAACCCCGATGGCCAGCGGCGCTTACGTCCCCATCCAGGCGTCCGGAACCCCGATGGCCAGCGGCGCTTACGTCCCCATCCAGCATCCATTTGTTTACATGTGATGCGCACGATAGACCAAGTCGTTTCTTTCTATGGCCTGCATTCGACATAATTCAGATGTTCTTAAGTTAGAAGTGCAACCTGTGCGCCGAATACCTGTCACGACTATATGGTTTGCATGGCAGCAACGTTAAAGCATCCGTTCTTCCTTTACTTGACCTCTGACACCATATTTGGCTCGTGGTGACACGTTGGATAAAATTTATTGAATTACCGCCAGTGATGTCGGGCCATCTTTGAAATGAGTACAACGCCTGATTGTATTCGAACTTGTCTTTTTAAACGTAATTAGCTGAAGCTATCACATCATGCCGCTTAAGGTGAACTATGGGACTGGGCTATACCTTTCGTGCAGTGAGGGAATTTTCTTCAGTATGTCGATTCATTAAAACGAAAATGAAGCGTTATGCTCAAGTTTATAGCGATATAACGCTGAGGAATTTTGTTAAATCACCTAAACTGGCTGAGAGATGAAACGCTGGGTCTGTATTGACCCAATAACCACCACGACGCATACTTAGCTCCCGCCAAAAATATGTGTGGAGAAGTAAACATAAATGAAAAAATCTGGTAGCTGATAAGCGATCTATGGAAACCTACAATACCTGACCACCAGCTGTACAAAACGTGTTGATATATTTCCTGACAACCAGCCGCCGGCAGCTGGTGTACATCCTCTGACGAGTCCTCGGAGCGGGGTGGCTAGACCCGACCCTGCTGATGCCAGACTCAGTCTGCTCAAAGTGACGCTCACGAGCAGCCGCCGGGTAGCAGGACGGGGCCGAAACTGTCGTGAAGACGGCGGCAAAAGTCGGTGGCGAGTGGTCAGTCTTTATTCTGATTTAAGCCAGGCCCACGCGGTAAGAAAATGGGTGTGATGCCCGCGTCCCGCCACGCGGTTCGGGGTCCCGGCTCGGGCAGACCATTGCAAGTGTTTTAAGGGTCAGCACGACGCAGGTCAGCCAGAGGAGGGCCATCAGGCACCAGTCCACAACAAGTGCATCCCCAGACAGACAGACAGACATGTGCATGGGCCGTGTGTCGGTGTCCTGGAAGCGCGCCTCGCCGTACGGTCCGGTGACCACGCTATCTGCGATAACACGGGGGCCAGGACACCTCAGCCGCTACACAACGGCCGCCGATACGGAGTCAGCGTCGCCCGCTAGAACCGCCTAAGGGATAGGAACTTCTCCAGGCGTCCAGAATACTGACAGTATAGCAAATGTGGCAGCGAAAACGGACGCTGTGCAAACGACCAGGCTAGTCCTTGTCCGCGCGGACAGCACTCATATCACGTGTATATCGTAGTCTGCTACACATCTTCCGCACCAGCGGGAGCTGATCAAAAGCTCTCCAAATACAGGCATCCATCTGGGGTTAAATGCACACACAAGCGAGTTCTCAATGCGCCAAGCTACGACCATCTCATATCAAGCTCATCCGCGCTACAAATTAAAACAAATCACAGCAGACAAAGCAGAAACGTCGCCATAACTTCTGATCATTTAGAGACAAATGAGAACGAGAAGGTTGCGAATTTGATGTTACACACCGCACTGTAACAAGCATAAATTAATTTCCCAGAAGTTTTCGTGGTGGCCGCAGCCCTGGCTACTCACAACCATCCATCAATCGAGACCGGAACAGCTGATCCCGTCTATTCTGAACAGCTCGAGTGGGGTTTTGCACAGAAGGGTTTTACACATGGCGCAGGCACCAAAGCCAATGAGCACGACACATCGCGCGAGTTTTAGCTATGCACTTTCAACAACGCAGCAGTGAGGCCCTGATGCGGCAGCATAGACGTTAGGAACATCTGTTAGTTTACAAATGCAGGAATGTGTTGTGGAAGTGCAACTCCGGTGTCAGTTGCTGCCAGGGTTGTGACGTTAGTATAGTGACGTCATTCCCACGCACTCGCCCACCCGAGCGAAGCTCTCACGGCACGGCATCTGTTACAATGCGAGGATCATAAAGGCACGCAAGCTCAGGAACTCTCGAATTGCTTTAGTGTTATTCAGTTGAACTGACCGCACTCTTGTTATGATCGGTGCAACACTGCTTACGACAATCACTTGAATCACGACACGGGTTGGGCACGCCTGACCACAGACGTATGAAACACTAACCTTACACTACGCACTAGAACACTCACTCTCAAGTACACGCACGGCTACAACTGCAAATATTAGGAACAAACTTGACGGTATACCATTGTAATGCTGCTCCGCACTTCGGAGCAATGTGCCCGCTTCTCGAAACAGGGTAACTTGAGTTCACATTCCAACATGACGCGTATTGAGACGCACTCTGCCGGTTGAGTAGCCTAGTCTAGTCCACTTTTGCTGCTGGCCGAGACAGAGCCTGCATATCCGGTACATGCAGGCCGAGATCTTGCGAGGACTGTGTCACACATGAAGAAGTCAGCGGATCAAACTAGCCAACCGACGTCACCACCGGCGTGGCGGCACCGGCCCGCTGGCTGCCCACAGCGCCACCTATAAAGCCCGAAGGCGCGTCACCAGAGCCATCTGCCGGACACGTCGTGGCGCGTCCAACGCGGTCCTCGGCCGTCGTTGGAGGCTGGGGTGACGTCGGAGCGGGGTGATGTTCAGCAGAGGTAGCTCCATCGCCTGCCCCCAGCTCTGTGGTCAAGCAGACGGACAATAGTGAGACATTGGTAGGAAGCCCTGACGACACGTTAAACAGTTCAGCTGATGCATAACGTCCGGTTTCAACGTCTGTCCATCAGGAGTGAGTGACCGCATTTGGCATCGTTCGCGAGTGATAGATTACTGCTGTCTGGAATGCTCTTAGCTCCAAGACATTTCACGTGTTATGCAAAAAACCACAAATGAAGGCATTGTGGACGAATGCAAACCATGCGTGCCACCGCGCACTGGTCGATTATTTTCGCAAAAGGTTTCAGCTAGCGCGTGCCGAACATTGCACCGCGCGCCTGCGCCTGTCAGATATGTGTGGCAGCACCAGGTGAACAGGCACTGAAATAGGAAAACCGAAAAAGATATAGATAATCGATCGATATGATCGCAAATCGAGATAGGAAGTACGAACTTCTTCCGGCAGAGGAACGAGGGGGCCGTGGCGACGCGATAACTAAAACCCGACTCACATTGATGCGAGCAGCGTGGGTGGCAGACAGCATTCATCGACAGAGACGTGTTTAGAAACTACAGAACAAGTTTCGCCAGGAACGTTCCCTTATGAAGGCCGGAGGCGGAGCGGCGAAAAGAGCTCAGCTGCACGGGTTCGAGCCCGCTCCCCACCCAAGTTGCAGCTCAGTTCACTGAACCTGACGACGTACCCTACCAGCCTTAGATAAAAGATATAACAGACGTGCTAAAAATCAAAATGATCTAGCGATGTATCAATTTTTTACGACTGGCGGAGAAAGAAAATATGGTGACTCGCGCTGGGCATCGCACGCTGATTCGACTGATTCAAACAGGGCTGAGCGCAAAATCAGTGTTGGAAACTACGCCCCTCACTGATACTTCGCGAAAATAACTGCACTCTGGAATAAGCACGCAGGGCCGATAGGTATTGTGAATGACCTGGATCCCACGGCTCCGTGTATCAGAGAGGACCGCCGGCAGAAGCGACGATTTTCTGCCCCATCTCAGTGACAAAACAACCTCCAATAGCTAACCATTCCGAATGACCTCACTCCGAACCTGAACACACAAAGCCGGCTCGCGGGGCGACATGACGCACGTGGGTCATGCTGCCTAGTCGCGAGGGGCCTAAAAACAGCATCACCTCCAAACGACCACTCAGACGCTCCGGAACGTCCGCGCCGTCCCGGCGTCACAGCACCTGAGCAAACACGGCCGGGCAGCAGCCGGCCCGTGACGTGTCCTCAACCCGCCGCGGCTTAGCGGCCCGACCCGCGACACATGACCACTGGGTCCATGCCGCTCCCAGCGCTAGCCGGGGGCGCTCCGGGCGCAGAGGCGGCTGGGACGCTCTCAGCGCTAGCCAGAGAGGTGCACCGGAGGCAGAGGCGGCTGGGACGCTCTCAGCGCTGTCCAGAGAGGTGCACCGGAGGCAGAGGCGGCAGGGACGCTCTCAGCGCTGGCCAGAGGGGCGCTCCGGGGACAGAGGCGGCTGGGACGCTCTCAGCGCTGTGCAGAGAGGTGCACCGGAGGCAGAGGCGGCTGGGACGCTCTCAGCGCTGGCCAGAGGGGCGCTCCGGAGGCAGAGGCGGCTGGGACACTCAGCACTGACCAAAGAGGCGCTCCGGGGACAGAGGCGGCTGGGACGCTCTCAGCGCTGGCCAGAGGGGCGCTCCGGAGGCAGAGGCGGCTGGGACGCTCTCAGCGCTGTCCAGAGAGGTGCACCGGAGGCAGAGGCGGCTGGGACGCTCTCAGCGCTGGCCAGAGGGGCGCCCCGGGGCGGAGGCGGCTGGGACACTCAGCACTGACCAAAGAGGCGCTCCGGGGGCAGAGGCGGCTGGGACGCTCAGCACTGACCAAAGAGGCGCCCCGGGGCAGAGGCGGCTGGGACACGCTGTAGACGCGCGATGTGCCCAGGGGGCGCTGACGTGGCACGACGTACGGCGCAGTGGGCGGCGAGCCATACCGCGCAGAGCCCACCGATAACGGGCGCCGCCAGGGCCGACGAGGGCAGCACGCATCACTCGAGCATTGATTGAGACACGCCAGGGTACGAACTAAGAGACAATCGAAGCCGCTAAAGAGACAAGCAAATTGCGAAAACATGACCGGTACGCGGAAAGACCAAGGGCTGCTACGCTAAGAAATAATACCAAAGCAAACACCTTCAGCCGCTGGAGGGCCTGTGCATGCCGCTCTCCGTTCATAGAGAAAGTACGCTCAAATCGCCACTCTCCCATCCAGCCATCGCATGGGCGGCACACAGGTTGCTGTCCATTGACTATGCAAATGGTCTGCTTGTTGCAATTACCGTCCGGCGCAATTACAGGCTCGCTGGCAGCCTGGCCGAGGATTTATCCCCTCGGCCCGCTGCAGCCTGATCGGTCTCCGATAGCGGGTAACTCAGTAGCGACACGGCGCCGGAGAACAAAGAAAAAGGCGGGAACTGGCCACCGACGCGCAATACGCCTGGCGACTAGCCGCAAAAACAGTGATGTGTGCCAGGTTTGAGGAGGATTCGTGTCGGTAGGGGCCCGGATAAATCGACACATGGAAGGAAGACAACCAACAAAAACGATAGCGCTGTTGGCGGTATCGCCCGAGGCCAACACGGCCGAGACGCATGTAAGAGGGCGGGCACAGGCCGGCGCATTCTATCAAGGGGTGGCAAGCTTGTGAAGCTGAATATCTGGACGTCATGCTTCCGATCTCGCACACCCTTTCGCACGCCCATGTATAGCCGCAATGGTGAGGCGCTTCGCCCACAAAATATCACTCGGCTCACAGCCAGAGCAACGCCGCAAAAAGTGTGGGAGGGGGGAGGTGACAAAGACAATATGAAGTGGAAAAGGGAATGCTGTTCAGCACACTTGAAGAGCAGAGTTGCCCTGACATCCACGGACCTCTCCGTGTCCTCGCCTTTGCCTTGGCTACATATGGAGTACGCGGGAGCCCACAGGAGTGCTGGAAACTGGGTGAGCCGTCGCGGAAGCGTCTCTCACGTATGTGTGGCTTTGAAATGGCATAGGTGTGTTATAGAACAGATAGAACAGAACAATAAACAAAGAATATAGAACAGATAGACGGATGAACAAGCGCAAACATACGTTCGACACAATGCATAAAAAAGCTTAATCTAAAAAACCGCCGATGATTAGAAACTAAAATACCCGACGATCGCCGAAAGCTTCGTTAACGCAGTTGTGTTGAAATGTTACATACGGATGCAAAAACATGTGGCATAGTCGCACCGCCCTTGAACGGAATGTTCGAGCGACGAACGCTGCAAGAACGTGACTGCTTAAAATAAAACGTCACGTGCATCATGATGCCATGGAGCTAAATGGTTTCCTTTACGAAATGCTTGCTTTCCAGCAATTTTGGCGTCAACATATAGCGCAGCCATTACGTACGTACTGTGCTGAATCAGACTTTGCTCTCGTCAAATTATTCGCAAAGTTGAAATATATACTTTAACCACGCAAAACCAAGAGTAATATCTCTCATCTACAAGTCTAATGCCCGCTCCTGAAGCTCGGTAACCGCTGCGCTGCTTCAATCCACGCAAAACGTTTTCACCACATGACAGCATGCGATGAGAATATATGGACGTATCTCAGCATAAGCATACTGCCTGCCGATGATGACCTCCCAGCAACTTATGAGGTATAACGAGAACGTTAATCTACGTTCTCGCCGTGGTCGCCAACAAACTGCAACAGCCCTAAACGGTTTGGTCCACCTTGAGCCGCCCGTGCGCCACAAGAAATCAGGCGCTGGAAACTCATGACTGGCACGGTCTCGCTCCCCTCCCCTCTCAACGGGAGACGAGGTAACAGCGCGAGCTGCCGACACCCGCCCAGTGCCAGCATGTGCAATTTATTGTAATTGCACGCGGCTCCGGATCCGCTATTGCGACATAAATTCATTAGAGCGCTCGCACGCGGTCGGGAGAGGCCCGTGCACGGCGCCGCGTGCAAACACTTGGCGCTCTCGAACGGGCCGTAAAGCGCAGCAGCGGCGGCGGCAGCGGCTGTGGCAGTGGGCACGTGCCCGGACCGGTTAGGAGGGCATGGCGCGCGGCCGGCCGCTCTCTCCGCCGGCCGTGCACGGGTCACGGCTGGCCGGCGACCGAGGCGCAGCGCTCGGATGGCGCCGCGGACGCTGGGGGACGACGAGGCGCCGGTCACGCCCGACACGCTGCAGTGGACGTCTTCGGATGTAAAGTTCTCGGCGCTGAGCCGTCCACACCGAGGGGTAGCTTACAGCACACAAGTGGAGCACGAGCGTCATGGGGTGGTGCGGCTCGGGACACACTTGCATGAGGACGTGCGGCAACAACAGCTCCACTCGACGCTTTCAGCGTTGCGGACCCGAGGGGAATCGCAATGACATCACTGCTGCCCAGCTGCCAAGTGCATTTAAAGGACTGTTCCACATTTGTATGGGGTTCGGCACTGAGATAGCTATTCTCAAGATCATTCCCTGCGGTTCGCAGCCATGCCCTTTTTAGGACTTCAAATCCCCTCGTTTCCAGGCCAGGTACACGCCACCTTGTGCAGACTGTTTCGCACCACCTATTTTGACGTTCCCCAGCAATGTATGATGTCATAGAAACGTCACACGAATCCCGCCTCCACACGGCCATATTGCGCTCAAGGTCAAGAGGTATATAACCTAGAGTTGAAGTCATAGAGTCATAGAGTCATAGAGTCGGGTCTGCAGTACGTCAGCGCGCGTTGTAGCATCAACGGGCAGCAGTTAGCCTCCAGCCAGTTTAATGCGCAACATGCAAGTTTCGAACACGAATCACGTTTTGTGAAGCGTTATAGATGAATTTGACCAGCACAACTAGTCACGACGGAGATGAGATTAAGGATTGAATAGTTCAGGAATAGCGCCGTATCGAGTATACAAATGCAAGCAAAAGCATAACAAAAAACTACACAAGAACACCAAGAGACAGAGCCAGAACACGTGCACACAGCGATATTCGGGCTCACTACAAG